AGTGACCACTGCTTCATGACACAGTACTTCGAGCCTGGTTTAAGCTCGACCTCGTGTCAAATACCTTTATCCTTCGGTAATTCGCACGGAACAGTTTCAGGGAATACATCCTTGAATTCAACCAAATCTTCATAGAGAGGATTTGTATGGAGCGATTCCCACGATTGGGAGTCATATCGCTCAATTCGTGTCTTTTCATCTAGGACACTCTCGTCCATAGATGAACTACTGAGAACTCTCTCGTTCTCAGTAAACACTGTTGCAGACCTTATGTCGGTTAAACACTCGTCGTCAGCGACGAGTACGCAGATCTGCTTGGCTTTGCCACTACGCAGATCACGCAAGAACCTTTTATGTTCGAGCGTTGGCAACTGAGTGATCTCCGAAGTCAACTTCGGAGGCGCAATCAGATCAAGTGTATAAGCGCCTACACTTGATCCGTTATTGACTATGACATTCAATGTCTCTGTCATTTCCTTGGGACTTATTCCCTCAGGCCTCGAAGGACTTATTCCTTCGGCTTCCCGGGGACTTATTCCCTCGGGTTTCGGGGAACTTATTTCCGCCGTATTTGTTATATCGGGACTTATTCCCTTAACTTCCCCTATCTGTGGTTGCGTAACCACATCGAGATCCTGTACGAAAGACTCTCCAGTCGATCTAGGATTATCGTTTCGCTTAACCTGATCGATCGATTGTTTCTCTTCTAGATGTTCCCCGCTAGGGATACATCTTTGTCCCGGTCCACCCGACTTATTCGAGTGGTGGACCTTCGGCGCAGCCTGTGTTTCCTCACAGCCGCCGGAACTTTGCTCCGAAGTGTAACCGTTTATTACAATAAGGTTTTGTGCAGTCGTACTAACGACCGTACCACAAGTGAGGCCATCGCACTCACTCGTAGTACATCCACACGCTTGTGGACGCTCCAAAACGTTCATCAGATGGCCATCTAATGAACAAGCGGCAAGCAACGTTACTGTTCGATGTTGCCAGTTAACCCGTGGTTCGTATCTTCTGAGCCACGGTATTCCAAGGATGACATCAAAATTTGTCATCCAAATCCAATACGATAAAGCCATCGTCATATTGGGTATCTTCTAGCGTATAATGGATCTTCACTATACGCTTCATGACGGTTACGGATGCGCCTGTCGCAAGACGTACCGTCATCCTCGTAGGAGGTGTGTCACATTCACTGAACTTGAAGTGACCATCTTCTAGCGATTGGCGTCGCACAAAATTGTTGGACGCCCCACAATCGACTAGAGCTCGAAGGGACAACTTATTCGTCACTTCGAGTTTCAAGGTAATGAGTGAGATCTCATTACCTAGAGCAGCAACACACAACGTTTGTGTGTTGGGAGCAACCTTCATCAAGAGGCCTACAAATTCTCTTGACGTTGCTGGATCATTAGGGTGCTCCGCACCTACTGATCCTGTCCATTTTTTGACGGTCCATCCCGTTGTTGCGTCTTTGCACCAACAGCGGACCTGCGTCCCTGCCCCTTCCTCATGGGTGGACGGTCATTACGCCCAGTGTTGCGAGACACTGGACGAGGGGCACTACACTCGTAAGCGTAGTGTCCTGTCTTTTGACATCTGTTGCATCTCTGCAACTTCTTGTAGCCTGTAGAGCGAGCCTTCTCGCTCTCTGCATAAAAGAGTTCCATCGGCTCTGGACCTCCGTTGTCATATCGTCTCGGTTGACGATATGATGTCGAGCTGGCGCGAGCCGGTCTCAGACTGAAGTCTTCCTGTTCCGCAATGTAAATGGCTTGTTCTAGTGAATCTAGTTCAAGCCGGAACAGGTGAGTCTTGACGGGACCATCCGCAAGACCCTGCCTGTACACCGAAACCAACGTATGTTCATCCACCGGGTTGGAACTTATACAACTCGTGAGATGTCGTTTTTGTTGTGCGTAAGCGTGCACATCACGCTTACCCTGCTTGAGCTTCAAGAGTTCGGTTCGAGCTCTGAACTCAGCTCTAGGCGGCTCAAACGTTTGTCTGAGCCGCGACTTGAAGACTTCCAACGACCCAAACGCATATGGGTCGTGCAACTTGAGCCCCAAAGCCCAAGTCTTGGCACGTCCTGCCAGATTTGACTGGGCAAAGGCAACTTGCATATCCCCGTCGTCGATGCGACGCGCCCTTATGGCGTCGTCTAATTCGACGAACCATCTCAAGATGGAGTCCTCTTTGACTCCCCTATACTTGGAGATGTCAATCTTCGAGGTTTCGGGTCGACGCGAGTGCATCGACCCACCAGCAGCATCCTGCTGCTATCTCAACAGTTCAAACTGTTGAGCACCCGGCTCTCTCAACAACTCTGCTTGTTGAGAACCTTGTTGGTGAAGCAAGGCTACTTTCTCGCGTTCTGCGTCAAGTTCATTTTGAATGAACTTGGCGATAGTAGCATGTTGGACATCTCTATTGAGAGCCTCTAGCATGACGCTAACAGTATGGATGCCCATGGTTGAACCCATCCGTTCAACAGCATCCCATTCGACATTGCTCAAATGGGAGTAGCCGTCACGCGTAGCGTGAAAGCTTTGGTCATCTTCATCATCCAACATATTCATGTTGGATGTGAACGTGGTCCTTGGACGGACTACGAAGTGCTACCAGGTGTAACGGGGCACCCTGAAGCTTGTACTGATGACAGTACAAGCTACTTATTCTGACGGCAGAATAAGGCGGTGCCTCGGAACTTCACGTACACTGGTACGTGCAGAGGAAGACGGTAAGAAGAAGCTAGTACTTACTTTAAGTAAAAAGTAGAACTGCATTTATCATAGTTAATGTCTGTTAATAAATCACTATTTATCTTCATCTAACTATGTCTAAATACAAATGTGTAAATCAATTATCTGCTCACCACTTATTGCGTGCGTCTGTCGTGGCGCGTCTTCGTTGGTTGATATAATGGCCTATATCAACCAATTAGGAACTACTCGTAAGTGCTACAGAATATTTGTCCTTATGACAATATTCTGAGAATATAACTCTTACAGTTATATTCTATTAACAATTTCTTACAAATTGTTATGTAACGATTCACCCCGTTACACTGCCAGTGACCTAGATTGCCACGGAGGTTGTCCGTCACTTCTTTCCAAATGAATTGTAGAGAGCGCATTTCCTTCTCTAGCACTTGAATGCTACGGCCGGTGTGCTCGAAACAATGGCAAGTTCGTAAGTCATCCTGTGATACTATCGTAAATGGTAGCGCCACGTTGCCACTTTTAGTTAGTCGGCCAGTAGTTGTCTCCATCGTTGAATCTTGTAGTGCCATGCGTCCTTCCTGTAACAGTCCTTGCAGGAGAGCTTTGGCCCGAGAAATGGTGTTGTCGAGCATGATTTATATGCACAGACAATTCCGTGTCCAGATGGCTTGGAGAGTATGGATGATGCCAAGTTTACAGTGCTCTTAAGGGAGTTCGTGACGCCAGCTTTGAATGTTAGTCCATAGCTCGCATGTTGATGGCCAAATAATGTAGCGACATTGGTCTGTATGGTCGAAGAAACGTATGGTACGTGTAACGGGGTAGCCCATTACATGAAATCGACACCAAACGGTGTCAGTAGAGAGATTGTCTAGCATGACAATATGGTACCAATGTTAGCCCAGGTAGGTAACATTGAGGGAATATTATCCTTTTTCGGATAATATTCATGCGCTGCTCCAAGATTAGTTGATATAAGACAAATCAATCATAGATTGCCACCAATCGCTGCTAGACGCACGCAATGAGTGGTGAGAAGGTTGTCGTCTTACGGCGGCGTAGTTTAATATAGTTATACAAAGATTAAAGTTATATTGATAGCTTAACTATACTAAATACAGTTCTCTTTTTTACCTTTACTTGACCGAGTCGTTCAAGTAGATTAGCTTCCTCTGTACGTACTAGTGTACATGAAGTTTCGCGGCACCTAAACAAAGGGTGCTTCGTTACAGTAGGTGTACCCTGAAAATGTCAGCGAAGTCACGTCCTGTGTAGAAAGGCCAGGCCGTTTCCATAGATCATAAAGACGTTCCATAACACCTGTGCAGCTGAAAAGTCCGACTACTGATAATAATATGACGCGCAAACTACTTTATGCCCCGAGCAGGGATACGTCTGTGTGCGCCTCAGGTCGAGGTCACGTGCAACTTAATCCAAGGCCACAGTAGGGCATCCCAGACTGTTCAACCAGTGAGTTGTCGCGACCAGTCCCACGTGATCGTTTTCAGACCTGCCGCTATTGTTGCTTTGTCTGATGATCAAGCATTACCCCGGTCGTGTTGACTCACACAACCTCTTACTTTGGGCTGTTTGAAAGCTGCCAATTTGTAATGCGGCCGTGAGTAAATTGTGTTCTCCCGAGGTCGTCGATTCATCACTATGCTAGTTGATGTCTGGTTGTTAGGACTTGTTATATTACACATAGTTCTCCTGCTCACTGCTGAAGCTGTGTTGCTGCCTCCGCCCAGGACGAGGCGAAAAACGAGTGGGCGGGAGAGTGAGTGAGAAGGTGAGGGACATATAGATACGATTGCGACACAAGATGTCCTGCCGCGTGATAACAGTGTTGGCAGAGCGACGTCTAATTTATACAATAGGAAGTACAGGTCCTTATACAGCCGAGCGCCTTCGCGCTGGGTCTCGCCGCGAGAGAATAAGGTTTCTCGGAGTCAACGCGGGACCTTATAGTTCATGTTGTTCCTCTTGTGATGCCTTCAGCTAGTAGTTGACTCGATGTCGAGAATACTCGCTGTCGAGGAATGCTGTAGATTCCAAGACAGCCCTGTGCTCTGTAGAAGAATCAACTTGGATTGAGTCCGTTGTGTTCATCGCTATATTTGCCAGTCGATCAGCCATTTTGATGTAGGCGCGATAGGGATGGCCTCAGTTGGAAAACTCAAGATTGTCCACAAAGGCACATGCCTCCCGCAATAGCGGCACTAAGCTAGCTTTCTTGAGAGATAGAGAGAGGAACAGACCGTCTATTATACGATATTATGGTGTACAAGACGTCTGGAAAGACCTAAGCCAGGATAGCAACGCCGGTGTCGGATGATCCGGTGGTTTTACGTGACTCACCGCTGTGTGCAGTGCTCTATATGGGGCCATGGTGAGCAGTCCAATGCATTGCATCAGACGAGTCCCGGCCACCTGGGTGTGTAGCTGTCTACGCCCTCGCAGCGCTAGCGCGTGTAATTGCCGAAAACTTAAAACTGTGCATTCGTGGATACATCCCGCCAAAGTGACGGAATGCCCTTCGTGAACGACCCGATTGCGTTGCACCCATAACGTCGTGATACATATAGAACAGAATACCCACCACATCCGCTTCCATCGACATGCATATGCCTCCATCGAATGTCCAAACGCGCTCAGCAGCCGCCGAGAAATGATCGGATGTAACGGCGGGGACTTTCGTGACATGCAAAAACTCGCATAATGCTGCACGCTAATCGGCATCCCCGAGCATCCGGTCCAGTAGGTAATGAGCGCCTGCCAGCAACCCTGGGCTACTGGACAACCACAAAAGATGTGATCCAGAGTCTCTCTCTGCCCGTGACAGACCGAAAGTTTTCGACAGCAGTTATTTAGCTCCCGACCTGGGCTATATAAATTGAGCTGATGCAGCGCCATTCGGTAGTAAAACCACACTTGATACTCGGTGATCGCGTTGCGGTGGCGCCAAAACTCTCTCGGTGTCTGATTGAGGGCCGCACAGTATCTTTCGTTGCGTTCCGCCGATTGCTGTAACCGGAGGAGAACACCATTAAGCCCTTTCCCATAGTCCCCTTCAACTCGCTGGTAGGGTTGTCTTTTCAGATGACATAGCGCTTGGAGATTCGATAAAGCGTCAGGAACTACCCACGGAAAACCGTGGATGGCGGGATGTGCCGCTACGACGAGGCCATTGTCCCGTTGAGCTTGGTGGAGGACCTTTATATCCGACCAGCCGTCCGAGTAGGTTACCGACGTCTCGGCTATCGTCCAGTGGAAGCCGTCTGGCTGCCGATGCAGGACTATTGTCCCCTGTGTGAGACCCGTTGATAGGGTCGACACCCCGTGAACTGTCCCGTCATCCATCACGAACCAGCTATACGGCACCCTGAGCTCCGGCTGCTGCCGGAGGGTAACTGCACTCTGCACCTCGCATTTCTCAGCTATGCGTAACGTCGGGCTACCGAAAACAATCGCGAGCGCCCAGCGCATTAGTTTCCGATCCGAGTGATGAGCCGGCGCCCCTGGAGCCAAAGGGACTCTAAACGAGTACACTCCAGGTCCCGTCCGCTCGGTCTCCAAGTCGGCCAGCGCACATGACCGAATTCGGTCATATCTGCGCTGTGTCAGTTTGTTTCCGGTACCATCCCGTATCCAGGGGTTGTCCGCCCACTGGAAGGTTGGCCAAAAACGTCGTGTACAAACCGCCCGTGGCTTCAGAGGGTCGAGTCTAATGTAGTGAAATGGAGAATGAATATATTGAGGAGGAGTGTTAAACTTGGTAGGCTAGTCTGGTGTCATCATATCCAGTCTGGCGCAATTTCTTGTCTGGCCAATCTTCTTCGTCTGGCGCAACCAAGGATGGTCTCGCAGGTCATATCGATAGACAACCATGTCATATTGTAGGCTAGTCTGGTGTCATCATATCCAGTCTGGCAATTTTTGTCTGGGCAATTTTCTCTGGGCAATCAAGGATGGTTCGCAGGTCATACGATAGACAACCATTCACGTGTTTCGGCTGGAAATGGACAGGGTGGCGGAGGCAACGGGGCATTCAACGAAATTGTCAGCCGATCCCCGTCTCGCCAGCCTAACGTCTGAGCGATGAGGAGTGGCATGTGTGTGGCATGATGGTCCATTAGGACCGAAAGATCTAAGGGTTGTGGGCGAAGCCATGTCCCTAACTCGACCCTTAAATCTGCCCATGGGATATGGTGTTTCGTGTGTTGGAAAAGCCCCGGGTCTCTCGGTGTAATGATCGGCTCACCGTGTGAGAGAGATCCCCGAAAATTCCCAATATTTCCAGGCCACTGCGTACCGATCGGACCGCTGTGTCAACCACAGAAGTGCATGTTTAATGCGTTGCGCTTTCACCGCCACTGGAATCGAGATTAATCCAATGCCGCCTGCTGCTCGCGGCGTGTATAATAGTCCCGGATTGACTTTGTGCCGACTTGTCTCCGTTGATAACGAGTGACGCCATAGAAATTGTTTTTGGAGACTACGGAGCTCTCGGTCCGCCCAAGCAGGCGTGTCAAACACTGCCGCAGTGAATAGTATTCCAGGCAACAAAATAACATTCAGAATCTGCGCCCGGAACGTCACACTGGTCGCCAGACGGGTCGCCGTAGCAAGCCGCCTCTGCACCGTTCGTATCCGGACAGCCCAATTGGCGTCTGCCAGATCACCAGTTCCGACTTGGTGCCCGAGGTATCGAGTCGTGGCACCCGATTGTAAAACAGGTATACCTTTATAGCTGGTAACTGACACCACCGTGTTCAAGAAGATCACTTGACTTTCGGATGGCTGTACTGTAAGACCTGACAACTTCCCAAAAGTAGCCACGAGGTCGAGCACTCGTGGAAGCTGTCGGGTTTCCTGGAGGAAGACCGTCGAATCATCCACAAACGCTGAAAAAACATGACGCTCTGATGACGACCCGGGCCCATGACTCCCGTAAGGCCGGGATCCTGTGTAATCGCTAGTGCCAAGACCTCCACCGCTAATACAAATAATAACAGCGCGAGAGGGAAGCCCTGACGAATTCCCGTGTTGAGCTCCATGGACTCAGATAATTGACCATTGACCAGAAATCGTGCCGTCGTGCTGTCATGAAGCTTGCGGATCATCGAAACGAAGGCCGGAGAGAACCCAAAGCGTTCCAGAACAAGAAATAGAAAATCGCGAGCGACCGTGTCGTACGCCTTTCGGAAATCTAATAAAAAAATTACCCGGCTATTCTGCGCGGTGACATCTTGTTCATTCTGGGCAGTAGCTAAGACTGCCAACATCATCATCACTGTTTTCATCATGTGGCGATCATGGACGAATCCTTGCTGTGTATCGCCTATTGGTTTCGTCAGAACGCGTTGCATTCGTGTAGCCAAGACTTTTGCAAAGAGCTTGTACCCTGTTTGTAGCAACGAAATTGGCCGATAATCCATGGCATCGGCGGAGTCACCTTTCTTACGAAGTGGGATGATGAGTCCATCCAGAAATGAAGAGGGTGGGTCTTTACCTGCCAGAAGTTCGTTACCAATTGTTACCATGACCGGTGATAACAGAGCTTGGTTGTCAATATAGAAATCATTATTAAGACCATCCGGCCCCGCCGCTTTGTGTCTGCTAAGACCAGCAAAAGCCGCGATCATCTCAGGTAATTGAATTGGTTGGACAAGGTGATAATTGTCCAATTGTGTCATGTGTCGGTCCGCTGGTATCCGCAAAAAAGCCGTAAATGCGTGGTCTAGTGAGCTCGTTGGGATTGTGTTATGACTGCACTTAAGTATAGGCTGCCATTCCGTCGCAAAGCGGTAAGCAGTACAGGCTTGACGCGCAAATGGTACCCCGTGAAGATGTCGTAAGCCAGTTACCGTCTGGTCCGCCTCCCAGTCGGAGACCCGCTTAAAATTCCACCGCAGTCGATCAGTCGTTCGCTCCAGTCGATTCCCCGCCGCAATTAAATGTCCAGCTCGTAAAGAGTCCTGATTGGCTTGGATAAGCTGCTTTCTGAAACAGAGTCCGGCACGTGCTTGAGCTTGTAATCGGTTAGCATACCGTGTACTACGCTGTTTATGTTGCTTCCGGATGGTCCGAATCGCCGCGACGCACGTGGTGATCATATGGTCCCAGGTACTCGCTGTGACTGACCGCCCCACTTCGTTATTGATCATCTCCGCCAATAAATCCGCCTTGACTCTCGTCGCTTGGGAAGATCTAATGGGGTAAGTGACCACGTGCCTCTTGTTAGTGATCGGAATATTCCACATACTCTGCGTTAGTAGGAGCGAAACCTGCTGATGATCAGAGTCGACAGGAGGAGCTGAAACCACAACCCATTGCACCCTCGATGTCCACTGGTGCGGAACGTAAAACCTGTCAATTCTGCTTGCTGTGGATTGAGTCCAGTAAGTAAAATATTCGGTTGGGTCGGGAGTATCCACATCGTCGAGTGGTGTTGCTAGAATGCGCGCATCGGTGAGTCCCAACCTGGTGATGAGGTCAGCAAGCGCTGCACTTTCCGGGCTCCCCGACCTGCGACCCCCGAGCCGATCCAATACTGGACTTTGAACAGAGTTGAAGTCGCCCGCCAGGACTACTGCGCATGACGGCCATGGCCAGTGCAGCAGCCGGGAGAAAAATTCTTCGCGCTCGTGGGGGGTATTAGGGGCATAAATGTTAACTAACAAGACCCCCGCTAGCATCAAACCTGCAGCGCGTTCCGTCCATAGTTCTGGGTGCCAAGGAGTTGCATCTGAATCACGGCTAGGATCCAGTAAAAAAGCCACCCCTCCGCTTTTTCCATTCCCGACACTCCAGTAAGATAGAGGGGACCCGTCAAAACGTGAAGTGTACCCCCACCGCCGCCCCCAATCATATCGAAGCTTATCCGCTAATTCCACGCTGTCGACATGTGTTTCTTGCAAACAGCGCACGATGGGTCTATTGTTGGTAGGACCTCTTTGCCATGCCTCCATCCACCGATCACGAGTCGTTTCCTTGAAATCGCGGACATTTTGTGTGTCGACACACACCACCCGCTTACTTTGACAAATGACATCATGGGTGACCGTTTGGACCATAAAACCGCCTTTGAGGCGATAGTGTGTGCCATAGACATCAACGTCCGCCGGGGCACTAGCTAGCCGTAGATGCCGGCGAGCTCGGCGTTGACGGTGGTGTATGCCCTTAGTAGTGAAGAGTCCGCTGAGGACTCATCTGGGCGAGCGCTTGCTCAGAAAACGTCTCTAATATCGACCAGTCCGCAGAGGCGATCATGGCTGCGTATGCCTCCCGATACGGTTTATTAATCTTCAGCCCGGCAAAATGCCGTCGCAACCGCGTCTTAACGCCGTTATCAGGCTCCTCGTCGCTGCCCGTTAGTGCTCTAATTTCGTCGTGATAGATCAGCACACATAAAATGTGACGCGCTAACTGCGTCTTGTGATGCACATCGCAACGGCGTAATAATTCATCGCTGGTACAGCCCCTGTCACGTAAACGGCGCCAGTCATCACTATTGTCAATTAAAGGAGACAGCATGGAACCCGCTAAGCGCCGTGACGTCCGCCCCTTCCAATCGTCAAGCCAGATCTAAGTATCTTTATCTGTTGTACGGCTTCGGTAAGCCATTATACAGGAGTACATACACTCTTGTCGCCAGGTCGCGGTCCATGTCTGTACGGTTTCATCACTCAAGATCGTCGATAATGCACTTTTATGCGGAAATCGTTGAATCATCCGGAGAAGGAGTCTCGATTCCACTTTCGCCGCTTGAACCCACTGCGCAGGCGAACTGTAAACTATGGGAAAAACGACCTTCGACTGTTTTGGCCATTCCGACGCTAAATCTAGCCACATTTCCTGCCACTTCTTGCTGCTCTCGAGTTGCAATACCTTGGCCGGACCTGCTTCGAGGAGCAGCCTGTCGTTGGTGCTGCTGCCTTTTTTTATTACTAGAGCAGTGGGTTTGTTTCGAATAATCACAGCCTTCTTTTTGCGTTCATCTGGTGCCAAGACGTGAGTCCTCGTTGCAGGCGCGCTCGATTGAAATGCTCGTGGAGATACCCGCAACGACAGAGCTGTGGAACTCCCGATAACGCCCCTTCCAGCCGCCGGGTCAGCGCTGGTTGAGGTGCGTGGTACATGAATCTGCTGAAGTGGTGAAGGCGGGGCGGAAATCGCGGCTTGAACGGTATCATTCCGCTCTAAATCTTCATATTGGTCGGTCGCCTCGATCGGCTCCGCTGCTTCCTTCATTTCCTCATCACTATCACTTACGATATCACTCATGTCTTCACCGGAGGAATTACCACGGTCGACGTTGCGCTCATCCCCCGTAGCCTTGTCCAAAGTCGGCAGCCGGTGGACAAAGGCAGAGTAGTGGTCATCCTCGTACTTAAGGATCAACGGTGGTGGGCTTGACCTATCACCTTTGACTGCCCTTATCTTCTCAACACACTCTTGAACGGTGAAAATAATTTGCTCTCCCGTTTCAATAACCCGACGGGCCTTGGTCATTGAACTAGGCCGATATAACCCACAGTGCCAACACTGCAACCCGTCAGTCGCTTGACAAAAAACATAGATTGTTTGTTGAAGGAAGTTCGCTGCCATAGTCAGCGTCTCACAGCCTTCCCAATAGTGTCGGTCCAACATTGTAGTCGGGTCAGTGAGACTGGACGCGTATTCTTCGAGGTACCATTTAAACTGTTTAATAGCTTCACTCCTCGGCATATCCATCCAGCCTCTGGCAACGTTCACCAAAGTGGTCACTCGGGCTTGGTGGCTAAATTGATCCATCATGTGCATCTGTCCCGTGTATTTAATGCCTCTTTTTAAGCTAGATGTAGCGGAGAGGAGGATCTTATCTCGGTGGCGCAAATCGTTGTTAGCGAGCGCCTGGACCAATGCCATGGCCAAACAATTCCCGTTCGCCGGAGTCTGAACAGGCAGAATATTCAGCTGCTGTTGGATAATATCGTACGACCCGGACCCCAGATCTACGCCATCCGGCAGCCGCGGCAATACACGAGATCCACAGTAACCCTCCACTTGAGCGATATTCCTGAGAAGCTCGGTCCGTTCCTTCTGTTTTAGCGCCACTAATGGAGGCGTCAGCGAAAGCTTCGGTGGTGTTTTCTTTATCAGCCGAAGCTGGACCGTAGAATCCGTAGCCTTGTCAGAGTGTCGTACGGCCGCGTGCGCTCCTGCACCGCTCGTATCAGGCTCTTCGAGAGCAGAAAAAGGTGCAGAAACAACCGCCTCGTCCTCTTCGACGTCGACCTCATGTTGGTCGGCCAGTACGGCATACCGCGATGACAAAAATGCACGCCGGCTAGATAATGTCTTCGTAGCACTTGATGCCTTCCGTCCCTGAGGAATAGAGACTGTCACCCATTATGGCCTAGGCTTAGGTTTGGGCTGCGCAAGTGGTGTTTGTCCAGACTGGTCAGGAGGGGCGGTTGAACGACCACCAATTCCGGACGCCGCCACGATACGACCATCACGACCGTCGGAGTTGACGCAGTCCACGGCAAGCGTGAGCACCATAACAGAAGGGGGCTGGACTGCCTGTGCAGAGACCGTATCTGCTTGGTCTTGAAGGCGTATACGCTGGGCCGCGATGTCGCACATCTCGGCAAAGCTACGGAAAGGAACAGCCAGATCCTCCAGCTGCGACACCTCTTCCTCGGAAGCCAAAATACTGCCGGGGCCACGCAGCTGCTCCGTCGAAAATCCACACCTTGCCATAGTATGGCCTATGTTCCCGAACCGTAAACATTGCAGCCTCTTCCCCACTTCGGGGTGTTTGAGAACAATTACTGTACCAAACCATAGCAGGCGCACCACATCACGTAGAAAATTGGGGCAGCCTGCTAATTGGATCGTCAGTCGCCACACCGTTGATGTCCTAGAGTCCGGTGTGCACGTGTCCAAAGGTTCCAGATCAAATTCAGGACTAATGTGGGCCGTCAAGAATGCTGTAAAGCGTCCAATGTCCATGTAGCGCGTAACATTGTAGAGTCGAATAACATGCTCAGTCTGCATCGTGAGGCGAGTGCCATCGGCTCCGACTTGGCGATCCCACACTGAACCAGAAGTAGGTGCGTGCCGATTGTGGAGGCGGTAGATTTTCCGACGGAACGGCACGAGTGTGTTCTGAAATTTTGCCGCCGTAGCTCGCTGAAAAAAGTGAATGTTAATCGACTTCTGAACCGTGTTGTACCCGATTGTCTTCGCCTGACTGAGCATGGTGTGCAGTGCCTGTAGATTCACCTTCAACCCTTCGGCCGCCAGCAGTATGTCTTCCTTCAGTGCCTGGGTATGCTGTCGACTGGATGGAATTGCTCCTTGCCCAGCCAATGAGAATGATAGCTCTACTTCGACTTGCAGCTGAATGGTCGACTGGAGTCGCAATCGATCTTTCGCATTTAACACTTTCTTGATAAAGTGTGGGCATGAGCGGCTCACAATGTGACCCCCCGCCAGTCCCTGAATGATTTCCCACTCTTCATCCGTACCATCCCGAAGCCGGGTACCCGTGGAGCGCGTGTCCTGCGCTTCACACAGTGAACGGAGCCGAGCAACAATAGCCGCAGCATACTTTTACGGATTGAACATATACTGCTGGTAATGTTCTCGAGCAGGGAGAGTAAGCTAGCTTTCTTTGGGGGATGATGTGTCCGAAGCTGTGAGAGCACTATCGCAATATTTTCGACGATATGCAGCTGGGCGTAGCCAGACACCTTCGAGTAACGTGGACCATGCACAAGCCCTCATTATTCAGCTGTATTGTTTGTGATGTCGGCAGCGCTGTACACCAAGCTCAAACCCCACAGAGCTCCAGCGGCGTGCGTCACAATGTTGAGTTGGACAATAATGGACCAGATCCGCCTGGTCCTGGGCTTCCTAAAGATCCACCGTCGAAGAATAGAAGAGGTACCATCCCCAGGCACCAAAGAATGGGCAACACTTTCATCACCAGTGGTTCTTGACGCAGAAGAGCGTGGCAGCCGAAGCTGACCTCACTCGCTCGAACAGATCTCCGTCTCTTTTCATGTCCAGCTGGTATATAGACCCTCCAAATCGGGTCATACCACGTGGAAATTGTGTCTTGGCTCTGGCGATGTGTGTCTCCTCCGGCAAGGACAACACTTCCAGATTTACGCTTAAGTACGCAAACAAACAGCGTGGCACAAGGAAGGGTGCCAACACCTAATGAGCCCTGCAGCAGACAGAGGGATGCGGGTCGGGTCCTTACTCCCGATCGGGACGTCCGGTACGCGCGTGCACTGGGCACAGGTGCCGGGTCATCTCGTAGAACGTGAATCAGTCGCCCGTGTCGGGGACGGCGCACCCGTGCGAACCGAGACCACAAGCGAGCCAATCCCGTACTTAAGGGTGCGGCTGGTCGATGTTCGTACGCGGCTGCGGTGACCGGCCCCGGCGTACCTTATTGTTACGTCGAGGGTGTCCACTATCCAAGCACTGTCGGTGGCATCTCCGAGCATTACGACGATAGAGCCGGCGAATGCTTGCCGACCTCATGAGTTCCTAGCTGTGAAGTCCACTGCTTACTGAGGAAAAGCGTACCTAGCGATGACGGCCAAACTTTGCTGAGCAATGGCGCACCTAATGGCGCTGTCGAATGCTTTACGGCACGATGCGCTCCTATGATTGACTTCGACTATTTGCCTGGCGGGCATCTGTCTTGCGTCGACGAGCTCATGGAGCCCGCACGTGGACTTACACCCAATTCAGGTGGAAGTGCCACATCTGGTAGGGGTATCGAATCCTTTCACGATCGCAGTGGTGTGTTGGTTCGTACAGCCACGAGGGCGTGGAAAGAAAAAGCGGAAAACGATCTGCTTCCGATGATACCACTGGAAGAAGACGCGCTGGAAGCCTGGATGATGAGTGGTCTCGTTTTTTTTGTTGCCGCCAGGGTTCTTGGTGTGTACGCATCCGCGTGCTATACGAATTGTGATGCTTGACTTCTTCGAAGCATACTTGGAAGGGAAAATTATTGCGATTGTACCTCCGTATCTACGAATGCCCAAGTACATCGCTGAGAAGACCCGGCTTCTCCAACTTTTGAGCGCAGTGAGGGGGAACCAGATCCGGATGTCTTCAGTCGGGAACTGGTCAAGGGGCCAAGCGGACTAGTTACGACGCCGGTACGAGACAAGTGACTTTCATTCTTCCCGATCAAGCGGCTGCTACGAGTTGGCATGAAAATTTAGTTTGTCTCGTAGGAAGCTCCTTCAACTTTTGTGTCCCGCTATTCTGGATCACGACGACATTACTGCTTCCTCAATACCGGCAACAACAACTGGTCGTAACATGTTACATAATCAAATTCGGGTTCTCATCAATGGAGTGGCGGCGAGCACAGTTCTAGCCATTTTGGAGTCCAGTGTGTCCTGTGAGGTAACTTCAGTGAGTCGTGGGTGCTCGCACGGCTCGGACGCGTACGGTTCCATTTTTTCGTGGCGACTTTCGACACGGCGCATGTCCCGAACAACTCAAGCTGGTTACGCATATCGCGACTTTTAACACGGAGCTCTTCCTCCACCGTTTTCGGCACTTTCAACGGGTCCCCTGTTTTACATGCTAGTCGCCTTATCACTCGAGTACCAAGTGCGGTGGTCGCAAGGGCAGCTATCAGGCTGAGCACCACCGCGTTTTTTTTCGGTATACCACTGCGCATCAGCCCGTTAGCAGGTTTACTCTCGCTCACCATCGCAGAGAGATTGCGACACGTTACTGGGTTGGCTGAAACTTCGGCGGCAATGACGGAGCAGTTGAAGGTAGAGGGATACAAGAACTCCCTGTTGACCAAGGTTTCGCAGGTTCCCCACCAGCCCAGGAAACCAAGAGATAGCTCAGCACTTACCCCACCTGCTGGTAGAAAGACACCAGGTGCTACTGCTACTCGCACCTCTAGTCCGTCAATCGATGACTGGTTTGATCCGGGTGAACGAAAGAAAAAGCGGTACCCTATGGGAGCCTTCTCCAGGCCCTGCTGTGTCGTCGGTTCGTCACCCACCGTCGACTGCTGCTACCGGGACAATCAAGTCTGTTTAAGCGGTCTCGGCACTTCCCACCAAGCACAGCACACCGAACATGGATAAGTCCGACAAAAGATCATTACACCCGAACAAGGCAACGGTTCGTACGAAGGGCAAACCGGCTGCGGTGCAACCGCGAGGGCGGTTTATGAACTAGCGACCCTGTTGGGGGGAGGCAAACCGGTTGTCGCGGCATCTACAACAACAACCACGGCTGCCAATTCGTCTTTGTCTTCGAACTCCTCAAAAGGTAGGGCTCTTAAAGGCGGCTCGGTCAAGGGTAGAGGACACCCAAAGCGCGGTCGAGGAACTTGCTTCGACAGCTGCGGAGACGAAGCGCGATGCCGACACCAAACGTGCCTGCTACTTCGAGGCTCATACTCATGCACATGAAGATTCCATTGCTCGCAATACAGCGTCTCGTGAGAAACTAACTTCGATCGCCGAAAAAATTTCTGAATCACTAAAGATGGAATACGATTATCGGATCGCCGGTGCAGCGGCGACACGCGCTATGGCGGAAGCAAATAAAACATTGTCACGACGATTGGCAAAAAATACACCGAACCGGACGTCTGCGAGCGATCTTAAGGTTCCGCATGTTGCGACTTCCCCTCACGAATTGCCTACTGCGATGGCGGAAAGACTAGGAAGAAGAGTCGCGCGACCATTGAGCGCTTGTTGTCGTCTTATGTTCGCCTCAGGCATGGCTTGCCGAGTGCCACCACTGCGACCCCTCCACGAACGGGGCCCGCTAGAGCGGAGCCTCCCACTTCTGTCCCGGCTGGAATGCATTCTGCTTGCCCTCAGGATTCTGACAAGCAACACGCTTGGGCTCGCGATGTTACTATGGCCGAAAGAACGGCCACTTTTGGAAGCACCATGCACATGGCTGATCTGGCCGGAGGAGCGGTAACTCCACCATCCTGTGCCGCCAGTGTTCCCATTCCGGCGGAGGTAGCTAAGGAGATTGAAGACGAGCTCATGGCATCTTCCGGACAACACGAAGTCCCAGTACAAGTTCCTTTTTCGCTACCGTCGCATAAATCCCATGCCGGGCAGACCAGATAAACCCAGATCGTGGTACAAAGTCCGATGGATCACTTCCACAACCCGCATACTCACGTTCAGACATTACGTGCAATTCGAGTGCGCAAGGTCCCGGACACTGCGTCTGCTGCAGTCGCAGCTACCGCCGTCCCGGATAGTACGAAACAAATTGCTGCAATTACAACTGTGATTCGGGCATGAGTCATCTAGCATAAAAGTACGGGCTGCCCTACCGACTACTATGCCTGATCCAAAGGGACAAACTGCGTGGGTCAACTCGTGCGTGCTGGACCTGGCAGCAATGGTCAATGGTCTCCCGTACCCGGTTGCTTACCTAGCATCTATGACGGGAAAAACTTTGCGAGCTTTTGGACATGCAATAAACAGCGAAACTTAACTGGCGGTAATTCGTCAACACACATCACAAGCAGATGCAAAACTTCGAGAGCCGTGCACAGGGTGGGCCGCGACGGCTGATGGGCAAACTGGACAAATTTGATGAAAAGCGACTGACAATATCCAACGATGGCGACGCTTCGGCAAACTACAGCCATAGTTATTGAGTCCTACGGTCGTCCAACCGCTTGACGACTTGGATCATTGGGGGAGTTCTTAATGTCCTGTGTACGCTACTCCCTAAGCTTGCACCTGTTGAGGAGTAGACGAACGTGGTGATGCCGCAGACAAAGGCTGCACTATACCACCTCTCAAGCGATGTGCGCGCGGCCGTCTCCAGTATTACATGCAAACCTGCCAACTGGCAACCAGCGGTTGACCTTATCACCCGCGATGGTCAGCTGCAGTACCCTCAGCACTGAGGGCATCTCGGATGCGGTCGAGGACGACTCGTCAATGAGTGTGGTTTCATGTCTTTCCTCTCATGATCCTTCAGAGCGAAGTCGTCCGATCGACAATATTAGGTATACTCCAGCTCAACGTCACACTGACGGACTACATCGACGTCTTCGTCTCCTTTTGCTTAAGACATTCCGGCGTCCGCACGAGAACAGCATCGGTCTCCATTCACAGAACGTCGCAGGATTTTCCAAGCTCCCAGAACGATGCACAGAATTGTTAAGTCACTTTAGATAGCGTGAAACACGTGGGACCCTTGACCTAATCCTTCTACAA